AAAGTTAATAGTATGAGGTAAAATCATACAGCCCATATCCTGCTTGAAGGGCAAGAGCAGTAACTTTAGGTTGAGGTTCCCCTTCTACACCTATTGTTAGGCACACCAGGTGGGCATGGAAACCTGAAGCCATTCGGACTGGTCCTGTACGCACTTTTAAAGGAAAGTAGTTCTCTGATTGCGAAGGCTGAAAAAATAAATTAATGACACCTATAGTTTTAAAAAGCAAAAATCATGAAAATGAAAGGGAAAAGGCATTTAAATTGAAATGCATACTTGCTTCCCACTCTCCTCTGAATTCGACCTTCCCGAGCTTTGGAAAGAGAAAGATCGATTGTGAGGATCATTTTCATCTGATGCACCTTGATTATCTTCCCCATCAGATTTTATTGATATTTCTAAAACCTGTTTCAGGAATAAAATAGAAATTAATTTATTTCTTAAGTAAACACACTGTGGGGGGCGAATTTATCGACAATGCCAACCTTCATCTATCAAAAGATACCTCAAGATTGAATCAAGTTGGCATGTCTTATATACCAGTGAATTGATGTTTAATAATCGTAGTGGTAGTTACGCCGCAATACTCCCCCACCAGAATTTTATCAGGGATAGAATTCGATGAACGGATACCACTAGTTGCTGTACTTGTGAAAGACCGGGAGAGCTGGATTAAGGTCACCGGGTTTTCTTAGTACTGAATGTGAGAGGTGTATTAACTTCACGGTCGTAGTCGCTCCTGTGTTGCATTTAGCAGTCGAGGTGTATGCCGGCTGACGTTGTGTATGATCGAGACGAGACTGAGTAGCAACAGCGTGAGGAGGTGGATAATGTCGCAGTCACAAGTAGCAAGTCAACTGTTCAATGTGGACCATCCATTGAAGTAGGCGTTACCAGATCAAAGTGGACGTTACTGTCAAGATAGGCATGCTCGCATCACGTCCGGGTCACCAATGTGGGGGGCGGATTCATCGAAAATGCCAACCTTCATCAAAAGGTACCTCAAGATTGAATCAAGTTAGCATGTCTTATATACTAGTGAATTGATGTTTAATAATCGTAGTGGTAGTTACACCACAATACTCCCCCACCAGAATTTTATCAGGGATAGAATTCGATGAACGGATTCCACTAGTTGCTGTACTTGTGAAAGACCGGGAGAGCTGGATTAAGGTCACCGGGTTTTCTTAGTACTGAATGTGAGAGGTGAATTAACTTCACGGTCGTAATCGCTCCTGTGTTGCATGTAGCAATCGAGTGTATGCAGGCTGATGTTTTGTATGATCGAGACGAGATTGAGTAGCAACAGCGTGAGGAGGTGGATAATGTCGCAGTCACAAGTAGCAAGTAAACTGTTCAATGTGGACCATCCATCGAAGTAGGCGTTACCAGATCGAAGTGGGCGTTACTGTCAAGATAGGCGTATTCGCATCATGTCCGGGTCACCAATGTGGGGGCGGATTTATCGACAATGCCAACCTT